GAAGAAGAAGAAGAAGAAGAAGAAGAAGAAGAAGAAGAAGAAGAAGAAGAAGAAGAAGAAGAAGAAGAAGAAGAGATGCTCTAATTCATGTATTCTTGGAAGGATCATATTCCTAAGCCAACTACTATTCAGGAGATAAAGGACAATGAGGAGTTGTCATGGTAACTCATCCTTCACTCCCATTTGGATGCTTTTTGTCCTAACAATATTTAGAGTACAAAGAATTATAATGACAGGCAATAGGACTAACTACTGTCCTGTAAGATGTCTAAATGTTGGGGAGACTTGAAGGCCAACACAAGAACCCAGGATTAACTCTGGGAGAGCAAAGTCTGGAAATCTGTTCAATTCCAAGGTTGAGGGGCCGGGGAGATGGCTCAGTAGAATAAGCACTTCCCTGGCAAGTGCAAAAGTCTGAATTCAATCCCCGGTTCCGGAAAAAAAAAAAAAAAACAAGGTTGAGTGCCTCTGTCTTGGCTACCCTGAGCCTTTCTGGGGCTTATGATGAGACAATCTTAGAGTGCCTGATCACAATAGTATTGGGCTGTAAATGATCATCCTTATCTCCTTTCCTTACACAGTCATCCATAAGCAGACTTTTTTGGCCTGGCTCTTTACACTTGTGTTCAGCTCTCAGGAGGAGTAGGCACTGGCTTTAAACTAAGTAAAGTTTGATGTATTAATTTAACTTATTTTTGAGCATCCATAAATAGAGAAAGATAAAGAATGAATTATAAGAATTTAAAGTCATGCAAAGTAACAATTAATATCGCTTTACAAAATCAAAACTGTAGACGTTTTTAACGTGCTTCACCTTCTGATCACTTATTTTAAAACCATAAAACCATTCTTTATACTATTTAAGAAGTAACAATATTCACAGTCTCTTAGAAAATTGTCCTTTGAAGCTTAGAGCACTATGTATTGAAGACCATAAAAGCCATAACCTTGTCTTTAGCTATATGCATGACCATCCCAGTGTACCTTTCAAAATGAAAGTAAGAAATAGCTCAAAGCAAATAGAGTCATGATTATAAACTGATGGGGAAATATTGACATAAAATGTAGTTAAATATATTTTATTGGCTCACTACTGACTTCTAAGCACAAAAACACGGCCAACTCCAAAGGAGTGCACAGTGTGGCAGCTCCTTTAGCTCTCCTTTGAGCACGTAATTCATCAGTGCTAATATAGCAACCTGCCTTTTATAGTTCTTTAAAAATACAAGACTTTTTTTTTTTTCAAGTGATGGTTCTTCCATCAGTATATTTTTACTATGTATTTGCACAATATATCAAGTGAAAACTAATTATCTTCCTGTTCATAACTGAAATATAAAGCTCCGTAGATTCAAGCTGAATTGCATTATCATATTATCATAATTTGATTAAAAAATAATAATTTGATGACTTTTTCATTCCTACTGACTTCCTTACAATTCAATATTCAAATACATCACAGCACAGCTAGATAGCTAGATATAGATATAGATATAGATGTGTGTATATAATATATAGATCTATATGCGTGTATGTGTATGCACATATGTGTGTATACATACACAATATGACCAAAAAGTATGGTTAATATCTATCTTTTTAACAAATGCTTACTATGGTAAAAGACATAATGTCATTAATGCCCCTCAAAGTACTCCTTTCTTCAAAAACACTCAATCTATCCTTATTCCCAATTTCTGAAATAGTTATGCAAGTCCTTTTACATGAGAGTAGTTGTGCTGCTGTGGCTGTCTCAGTGTCCTGAATGGATTCAGAACCTTGCGCATTCAGTCTACCTTTGGGGCTGACTCAGAACTGACAGTCCACGGGTCAGTGAATAGAGTGGGCGAGGACGCACAGTAATGCTCTTCCACGGCTGCCTTTCTGTCAGGCGTCATGTGGCAGCACAGCAGCCTTCCCCAGAGCTGTGATCACCTCCTATGATCAGACACCCTCACAAAGAGGACTTCCAGCATTGCTTGGAAAGTTCCAGGAATGATGGCATGCACATGTCTGCAGTGAGGGCAAGTATTTGAGGGAACCTAATGACAATGTGTCCTTTAATGGAATAATTTCTATAAATTTAAATATTCACTGTGTATTTTGGCCACACCAGGTACAGTCAAGAAAGTTTTAAATGCAAAGGATCTATTTATTTAGTCACTATTAATCATATAAGCTTCCTTTTGTAAAAGTTAAAAAAAATTATATCTAATGTTATCAAAAATTAGGGAAGGGTCATCCTTATGTTGTGCCACACCAGTGCCATTATCTAATACATTCATTTTTGTATAAGAATTTGCAACAAAAAATACCACCTAAGCATATATATTTTACATACATATCTAAAACATTTTAATTTAAAAGCATTTATTTAAATATGAATCCAATGTATGCAAGTATCCTGCAGTAAATTGATAAATATTAAATATAAGTATCTTCATATATATATGAAAAATTATGTTGCAGTTAGACAAGTAGGTTTATGTACCAAAGCCGTTTAAAATTTACTCAAATATTGAAACATTAAGTTGTAAAATTTTTAACTACAACTTTAAATTCCAAACTCTCTGCAAATTGCCCTTCTAAAAACTTAATGGACCTCCATTACAGAGTAACTATTAGAATAAAATTAAAAATAATTCACAGCTTTCCTAAGCAAGCCTGATGTTAATGTAGTGGAAATCACTTCTCTTAGTAGTTTAAGCAAAATCAACTGAGTAGCATGAATGAATTAATGCCTGTACCCTATTGAATTATGAACTTTCTAGCTATTGCCTATGATTATTCAATCAATTCACCTTTTTATGGTTCAGAATTTATCTACTCAATAAAAGGGATCTAAACCTTATGCTAATAAGCACATTTTCCAGGGGCAGGTAGCTCACCCTGTTCTGTCTGTATCCTAAAGGGAAATTTTTCTGTGATTGTCAGTCACAAAAAACTTAATAGACCAACTTCCCAGGACATGAATATATAAATCTGAAGTATTAAAAAAGTAATGATTAATATAACCACATCTCTGATTTTCCACAAATAGTTATTCATATAGCTGCCAATTAAAAAATATTTTAGGGGCGGGGAGATGGCTCAGTAGAATAAGTGCTTCCCTGGCAAGTGCAAGAGCCTGAGTTCAATCCCCAGTTCCACAAAAAAAAAAAAAAAAAAAAAAAAAAAATTAGGTATATTACCATTTGCAAGTGTAGTATCCAGACCAACACTTTCAAAGCCCATTCCACAAACTGGTATCAGGAAAAAGGAAGATTGCTTGAATACATAATTTAGGAAAGCTTTGTTAAGTCAAATTAAACATTTTTCTTTGATGGGTGTACAGGAGGTTAATAGACTCCACAATATTTCAAGTTTGGAACAGGATCGTTCTGCTTCTGGGATCGCCACTACAATAGTGCTCCTTTAGAGTCCTCTGCTTAAGACCAACTTTATTCAGTAGCAAAATGTATGGCAAGTCATTAGAAAGTGTTAGCACTTTTTGCAACAAATTTACAAACTCTTATAGAAAAAAAATCACTTTTAGACAGTTCTGAGTGTTACACCCAGGGCCTTTGCATTGGGCTACATTCTACTCCATGTATTATTTTTTATTTGGCGACAGGAATTGCCCAGGCAGGGATCAAACTTGCAGTCCTCCTGACTCAGCCTCCCAGTCTCCTGGATTACAGTCCTGAAATTACCACCAGGCTTGGCTTGATAAAATTTTAATTTATATACCTACCATTCATTCTTGCAAGGAAAGGTCATTCAAGGGTTGATTCTGAAGATCCTTTTTATATTGACAAGAAAAGAGCATTTGACTATAAAATCTTGCAACCATTCACTAGTGATCAAACCACTACTCTATTTGGCTCTTATACACTAAATGAAAATAAATCATTGATCAAAATGAAAATAAATTCCTTTCCTTAACTTTGATATCTAGAAACTCGCTTTGTCTATGTAGTTGGTACAGGGTGTCACTATGCAGATCAGACTCAGTGATCTTCCTGTTTTCAGCCTCCCAACACTGGGATTATAGGCATGTGCCACCACACCCAGTCTCTAGAAACTTGCTTTTACTTAAAAATAATAGCTATTTCCACATTCTTTTCTACCTTATTTTATGATTATTGACATTAAACTGCATACTTGATTTGCCAGCATAAAGACAAGTAATCACTTTAGCAATCTACAAGTAAGCACTTCCGTAATCTGCTGTGTGCATCCAGAAGAGCACATCCAGCAGCTATGCTTCCGTGTTGGATGGTGTAATACCTGGACATCTATACAGCTTTCTTGCCTGTGCAATATCTCCTTTGCTCAACCGGGTCCGCTGGCCTATTACTGGCCGAATGCCGTTGTCATCACGGGAGGGCAGAATGGTGTCCAGAAACATCCCCCTGGAAAAAAAAAAGAATGCAAACCACACCTAAGTTACCAAATTGAAACTCACATATTCCTAACAAACAGAAAGTTAATATTTTGCAAATTTGTCAATAAAAGGAGAAATATACCAGTATAGGCTTTCAATAGTGCTAGAGATTTTCGAAACACTTTCATCAAAATAAAAATAAAACTGTGTGTTAAATGTGCATGGCTCACACAGTCAGTGATGACATTTTTTTTCCTTAGAAATATATGTGATATGCTCACAACAATATAAAATATTTATAGCTCCCCACAAAGTCCATAGCCTGTGTAGTAGTGATCCATGAAGATGGAAGAACCCATTAAGTTACCAGTTCATAAAGCAATTCTTCCCCATGAATGAAAAAAATAAAAGCATAAAAACCAAAAGTTAATTTTCAGACATTAAAACAATCATTCAAGATAACATTTTTAGAAACCCAACTGTTATACTAGTAAATATTTTTAAAAAAAATAAAAAAGACTGCCAGTTTTACGCAAGATGATGTAAAACAAAAATATATACTTTTATAGATCTGTTTCAATTTTCTATGACTACATCAATAATCAATAAACCCTAATCAGTGTCTTAATAAGGTTAAATGACAGACACCTAGTTCGATTCAAGATTGTGGTAAAAGACTTTCTATTTTGCTTTTAAGATGCATAATTTAAAATTCTGACTGCAGTGTACTAAATATAGAATCTAATTTTGCGAAGTATATGGAACATTTATAACTCTAAAGGGAGCACTAAACGTAAAAGTTAAATGGGCTGGGAGATTATTCAAAGGAGTTAAAAAGTATGAAGGTTACGGATGTGGATCTTCAATACAATAAAAAACAAAAGGGGGAATTTGAACAAGAATATTTTACATTAAACATTTACAGATTATCTTTTAAATTCAGATGATCAAGGAGACTTTCCATTCCAAATTTATAAATAAATATATTACATTAAATGCAATGTAATAGAGCAAAACTATTAGCTCTATTTCTTTCTTTTTTTATTCAATAGTTATTGAACACTGTACTTGGTCTTCATTTACACTGATAAATTAAAAAAGAAACAAATAGAAAATTTTTCCCTTTGCCACTTTAACATTCTAATGGGAGAAAATGGATAACCCACATGGTCAAAAATACTGTGGAAAAAAAGGAAAGACAAGGAAATGGATATTGATTGTAGACTGTCACGTAGCTTTTAAAGAGTATCAAAGGCAAACATATTTAGAATTCCACATTTTAATCAAACATGAAGGAATGGAAGCCCAGAAGATTATATGTAACTAACTCCAAATAGATCATGGGCCCAAAGATAAAATGTAAGATGTAGAACTGGATGATGACACGGACTGAAGTATACAAGGTCTTGGGTTTGGTGGCAATTTTTAAGGAATAACAGTTATAATCCATGAAAAGAAAATTGATAATTAAATTTTATTAGAATTAAAAAAGTTCTGCATTGTGAGAAACACTGTTGAATAAAGAAAATCCACAGATGGGGAGAAAAATATTTGCAAGAGAAATATTTATTAAACATTTTATCTAAAAACATGAAAAAAAAAAAAGAATATATGTAACTGGGAGTCGAGAGGTCCCAGAAACAATAGCAAGGGTAACAAGTCACAAATAAGACACCCCTGAGAGAGCTGCAGCCAGGGAATGTGACTCTTATCCATAGATATTGGTTAATCTGTAAAAAATGATAAACAAGGAGCAACAGGAAGTGTGAGTAACACGATGCATGAGTAACATGTGACTACGCTCTGCAGCAGGTATGTAAGAAAGAGGATGATCACCCTTAGCTGCAGCCCGAAAACCTGACCTGGGGACAGAGCGGCTCTTTCCAACCTGATCTAAGAATGTACAAGACATTTACTGCCTGAGATGAAAGTAAAGAAGCAGAGACAGTGACTTACGGGAACTGAACATTACAAGTAATCCCTGGCACCTATTTATAAGATCACACTTCAAGCACAACAATGTAGCTGAAAAGGTAAATTAAATTACAAGCAGCAATGAAAACAACCATTCTTCAGGGACGCTTCATGAGTCAACAGATGTAATAAGTGGGTAGATCTAAATTAATGAAGTGTTACTACATTTTCTGTAGTTACTCATTACTAATAGCACCGTTTTCTATTTCTAAAAATAAATCTATGGTCTTCAAACTTCCTTTTATTCCCAGCATTCAAATAACATTCAACTTAAATAGAAATTGACAAAGAAGCCAACACCCAAAGCTGGAGAAAAGACAGTCTGTTTAGCAAATGGTATTGAGGATGCAAGCAGGCGCAGGAGCCTAGGGTTCGATCGCCAGGCATGCCGTGCCAGCCCTGCCCCCCGGGGCTCGCTGAGACAGCAACTGAGACTGGGCGTGGTGGTGCACCTGTAATCCCAGCTCTTGGGAGGCTGTAAACAGGAGGATCACTATGAGTCCGATCTAGTAATGAGACCCTGAACACCCTGTAGAACCTTTCCTAAAATAAAAAAAAAAAAAAAAATGTTGTCGAGGAAACTATGCACATTAGAAGACTGAATCTAAACCCATGCCTCTTACCATGTAATTAAATAAAATCCAAATGGATGAATAATCTAAATATTAAAACAGAAACAATCTGCTAAAAGATAAAACAGTTAAAGCTCTTAAACATAGGCCTCAGCAAGGGCTTTTCGAACAGAACACCAATTGTACAAAAAACAAGATCAAGTTAAAATTTTCTGCACAGCAAAGAAAACAACCAAAGAGTGAAAAGAGAACCTCAGAATGGGATTTTTTTTTTTTCAGCTGCTACTTAGACAGAGGACTGTCTTAGTTTCTCTTCTCATGGCTGAGACAAACTACCTGACAGCAAACAGTAAAGGATGAAAGGTCTATTTAGCTCACAGTTTGCAGATGTTTCAGTGTGTAACTGCCTGGCTCCCAGGAGGGTGGAACCGTGGAGGGGAAACAGGTCACGGTGGGCAGAAGGGAGCAGGGCAACAAGGGGCAACTGCAGTTCCTTCTATCCTGTATATTTTATCCAGCCTACTTAGGGCAGGCAGCACCGCACCCTAAATCCTAGTGCGCTTGATCCTAGCACTGCATTGTGAATCTACTCCAGCATCACACACCCAACCTCTGGGCACCTCTGACAAGCCCCACCTCTGACTGCATGAGGCTTCAGAGCTACATCCAGACACGACCCACAACAAGGACTAAGAGCTAGAAACACATGAAGAACTCAAAAAACAAAACAAACAAAAAAACCTAGCACTCCCTAAATAAAGACCCAGTGAAAAAACTGACAACTAAATTGAATAAACACTTTTTGGAAGAATTACAAGTGGCAAATAAATACATTAGGAAATGCTCAACACCTCTGGCTACTAGGGAAATTCAGATTAAAGCACATAGATACCACTTCTACCAAGAAAAAAGGCCATCAACAAGGTATCAATAGAAACAAATGCTGATGAGGCCATGGAGGAAATGGAACCCTTCTACATGATCAGTAGAAATGGAAACTAGTACAGCCACTAAGGAAATCAGTATGGAGCTTCTTCAAAACACTAAAAATAGAAATTCATTTAATTGAGCTATTTCACTTCGTGAATGAGTTAAAGACATTACATTGTAGTGATACAAGCATGTTTATAGAAGTACAACTCATGAGAGCCAAACCTCGCTAGTTATCTATGTGTCCATCAACAGATGAGGAGACAGAGAAAGTGTGGTATTTATACACAATGAGGCGCTCTTCTTGTACAAGGAAGGATATACTTGAATCAATTGTGAGAAAATAGATCGTCTTGGGACGATAATGTTCACTGAAACATGATGCAGTTAAATATCACATGGCTTCTCTTATATAAAAAACCAAAATGTACATAAATTAAAGAAAAAAATAGAAGGTCAATAACATGAAGTAGCTAGACAGATCTTTTTTAGAAGGGAAGCAGATGAAGAGATGAAGGGAAGTGTTGAGGCCAGAGGAGAAGAAAGAGTAAACAGAACTAAGGTTTGTTGTGTAAATATACTAACTCCTCACACTAAATGTATTCATTATGTACCGTAATGTACTAATAAAAATTTTATCAAAATTAATGCACTGCTGAAATTAAATTGTAAATTTTAATTAGATAGTTTAAAAAATAAATAAAGGTCCAGGGCATTTTGGAGCACATATTCTTATTCTCAGACTAGAATATGATTTAATTTGGCTCAATGCATCTACTGAGGTAAGCTCTCTTCCATTTCTTAGAGAGTCCTTTACTTATTTCTTCGTATTTTCTTGTCAGAAGTCAATGACCCTCTTTCTCCATATTCTGGCCATTAGGCAAATAAGTTCTTGCTAGCCCTCCTTACCAAGGTACTACCAATGGGCCTGAGAGAGGGTGTAACGAGTCTCCAGTCTTCATTTGCTTTAGTTACAGTTAAAGGACAATTTAGCCAAAGAAACTTTGTAAAATTTTATAACTTTTTTTTTTTTTTTTTTTTTTTTTTTTTGGGGGGGGGGCGGGGGCATAACCGGGAATTGAACTCAGGCCCTTGAGCTTGCCATGCAAGCACTTATTCTACTGAGCTATCTGCCCACCCCTAACTCTTTTCTTAACTACAAATGGGCAGGCTCTAGTTTCTAAGCATCCACACACACTAAAGCTTCATAGACAAAAGCACTATCCTTTCAATAAATGAGTTCCTAAATCTACTGATGGGGTACATTCATGAAAACAACTGAAACTTCTATAAGCCATTCAGAATCAATAGAAGATTCCAAATAAAAGGAACCACAAAAAGTAAGACACTAATATTTTTACCATGAAAGACAAAAATTTTCTGTTCACTTCTATTGATGTAAAATACATATCTGACAGAGTCGAACATTCTTTCATGATAAACTCTCAAAAATTTAGAAATAGAAATTATTTCAACATAATAGAGGCACAACTAATGTGACACTCAGTGATAAAAAGTAAAGCTTTTCCTTCTAAATTTAGGAACAAGGTAA